GAGGGGGAAGGGAGAGCAGGGGGGTAGGAGGGGGCAGATTGGCAGGGGTAAGTCCATTTTCCCAAAAGTAGAATTACTCTTTAGCCCCGTTCTAAATTCTATTTTGGAAGGAGCAGGAGACTCATTTGCTCACTGTGCATTCCCCATCATCACCTGTGTGCCTGGGCAGAACTGGTGATCAGAAACCAATCAGTGCGGTACCCGCAATGACAAGATGATCAGATAGCTCTGCATACAGCTATCACCAACTCAACGAGCACATAGAAATACATTTTTAAAGAGGTCAGTGCAGTGTTTAAAAAAAAAAAAAAGTTGTTTTTTTTTTTAATAATCTTTTGCCTATTTGTCAACTTATAAAAAAATCTCAGTGAAGAGGAGAGAAAAAAGAAAGAGGAAAAAGAAAGAGGAAAAAAAAAAAAAGCCTCCGGCCTCATTCACGCTTCCGCATTTTAGCACAAGCCAGAGTACAAAACGCATATGTCACGGGAACACGTGTTAACCAACGAGCCCGTTCACATCTATGAGCTCCGTCTTCCCGTGCATTTTCATGCACTGAGGTGCCAAGAGATGTTCACGGCACTGCATGACGACGCATGTAGTGTGATTTGGGGCCCATTAACACAAAAATCGAAAAGTAATATTTATAAGTCAATGGAGGGTCCGCAGACTGGCGATTGTACCTTCTGATCCGCTGCAATCTGTTTTTCGGATGCTAATGCAAAAGGCACTGAGAAATGAATGGGTGTGAATGGGGGTAGTTCACACCGCTGCATTAAGAAAAAAAAAAAAAGTGTGCGTTCTACTTTTGTTTTTTCCGTGTAAATTTTTTTAGTGCAACGCAAAGGAGCGATGTGAACTGGCCCCATTCACTTTTTGGGTTTCCTTCTGCTGGCTTTATGTATTGTCAGTCCCCAGTAACAAGCTCCTCCCCTGGATACTTGCCATGTGCTCATACATTGCTCCAACCAAGATGGCTGCTGCAGAATCTCTGTACGATGCAGTGTAAACGTGCTACAACGCACTAGAAACAAATGGACACAAGTAGACATGGAAAGATGGGGACCTGGGCCTTATATCTTAAACAATGTAGGCAAACAGTTGACGTCAAGGTTACCAATTCATACCGATACTGCCCCCGACTTGATCTGCACATTTATGCATTAACAACCTCTGGCCATTAAAGTGTTAAACAGGCCCATGTCGTGTGAATAAGCACATGCGTTTAAGTGCTTACCGTGAGCTATACCCTGGGCACGCTATATCTTATTCTGTATAATGCATGAGCACAGACAGGAGGTATTAACACACAGAAACACACACCGCAAGCATGAAAAGGTTAGAAAACAAAGGTGAGCCCTGCAAGCCACGTGCCCAGCAATAAAACAAACACATTTATACTCAAATGAATACAAAAGACAACGAAAGTGAATGTGGCAGCTGACAAACATTCATACCCGAAGCATGTAAAGAACTCACCTCTCCCATTCCTCGAGATTCTAAAGCCAAGGCCTGGAAGCCATGATTCAAGTCATCTGCGGACCTCACCTAGAAACAAGAACACAGGGCTGTAATTCTAGCCAGGCTGTCTCCATACACTCGCAGCACAAACAAGACAAAATCACCACTTGGCCCGGTAATGGAACGCACGGCAAAGGAGCAGGAGGTGGCCTGCAGGTGTCAGACCTGCCCAACAATTAGTGGGAGGCTCACCACTCACATGGTTGACTGAGACTGCTTGTGAAACCTCAAGTGTCAGTATACCAATGAAACATTTGCAATTATCAGAAGCATTTACCAGTCTATAAATCCCATTATTTTATATATTGCGGTCCTGCGATTATATCCCTCTTGCCTGTAGAAAACTGAGATCGGCGGGCGGAGCTAGCGCAAAACCTCTTATGTAACCTGCTGAAATGGACTTGCTTTACCCGGGGGCCGCAGAGAGCTGATTGGTGTTGCTGCAGTCATGTGTTAGCAGGAGGAACAATGTTTTAAAAAAAAAACCAAACAAACTATATTTCAAACACAAATACTAAAACACAGGAGGGGATTTTATCAAAAGTGGAGCAGACCAAATCTGGAGCTGCTGTGCATGGCAACCAATCAGCTTCTGTCTTTCATTTTCAAATCTTAACTGAACAAACTGAAGAGAGAAGCTGATTGGTTGTCATTGGCATGGGTATGCCGCTGGGGAAGTCAGAAATAGAAAAAGATTTGGGGGTCATTGTAGACCACAAACTGAATGGTAGCTTGCAGTGCCAAGCTGCGGTAAACAAAGCTAGCAGGGTCTTGTCCTGTATTAAGAAGGGGATGTATTGCGGGGACAAGTCTATAATTGGGCCTCTATATAGATCGTTGGTTCGGCCACATCTGGAGTACGCGGTGCAGTTTTGGTTGCCCATACTGAGAAGGGATGTCCTTGAACTGGAGAGAGTCCAGCGGAGGGCAACAAAACTAATTAGGGGAATGGAAGACCAGAGCTATGAGACAAGGCTTCTGACCTTAAACATGTTTACGCTGGAATTAAGGAGATTAAGGGGGGATATGATTTTCATGTACAAGATGTTCAATGGTGACAGCAACATTGGCTACAAACTGTTTGAGATTAACTCCATTATAAAGACTAGAGACCGCCACCTAAAGTTGGTGGAGAAAAAATTCCGGCACAATGGGCGAAGAGGGTTCTTTACAGTAAGAGCGGTTAAGGTCTGGAACTCACTGCCATCGGCAGTCATTTCAGCCAAGAGTGTAGATTTGTTCAAGAAACGTTTGGGCAATTTCTTGAGGGACCGTAATGTCCAGGGATACCAGTATCCCTAAGAATGAGATGATGCGTGGACCTATATGGGTTGGACTTGATGGACGCATGTCTTTATTCAACCCCAAATACTATTCAACCATGTATGTAACTATGCTGTCATGCACAGCTCCACTGTTGATAAATTCCACCCTGAATTCTATTTGTATTGTAAATAACAGTAATAAATATTTACTGAAGGCAAAGCTTCTGTTCATTGACCCTTCTGGCTGTCAATCATCCTGTTACCCGGACCTCTGCTCAGTGCGTTATGTCGAGAGAAGAAGCGTCTATCACCCTGCTGGAGCGTGTGTGTGTGCATACGTGCGTGCGTGCACTCTCAGCAAACCCAATGGAGCTGCTTTGCAAGCCAACAGAAGGCAACCTTATTGATATCGCATAGGGGGCTAACAAGCCCCCTATGTAATAGCAGATAGGGTGTGACAGGTCCTCTTTATGGAGACATCAGACCCGTCACCTAGGGAGCCCAAAGAAGCAGAGATGTTCTTCCCCAGCCTCTTCTCTTGGCTCTATGAGTCAGAGTATGTGAACTGTGGGTGGCTATGCAAAAGCCACAGGATAGGCTGCCGTTTAGAATAAGGAAGTGCATTGAAAACGGCGGGATCAATCAGGTGTTTGCTAGCGATGATTATATACATGGGGAGGAGGGGGTTAAAGAATAACAAAAGGATAAAATCTTCTTAACCCTTGTAGATGGGGCTTAGCCCTGCACTGCAAGCGTTAAGTGCTCATTTTGTCTAGGTGCTAAAAAAAAAAAAGAAAAGTTATACCTCACCCAAAACGCAGAGCCGGCTGCTCACTACTCCAGTGTTTCCCCCTACACTGCAGCACTGGAATATTCTGCAGTGTCCACATGTCTATACACTAATAGGAGGAGATTTACGGGACCGTAGACCGCTGCAGCAGAGAGGGTGAAGAGAGAGGCTCCAAGGACTGGTCTAATAACAAGCCGGCTCCGAGGATCAGGTGACTATTTTTCTTACTCCCTAGACAAAAACCAGCATTTAGGAAAAATTCTGCCTGGAGTTCTGCTTTAAGGACACAGAACATAGGCTTAACGTTAAAGGCCAAGTTTACTTTCAGACCAGGTTTCATACTACACTCAAATTTAGGGTGCAACATGAAACGTAGTAGAGCTGCAGCTAACGATTATTTTCAAAATCGATTAGTTAGCCGATTATTAAGTTCGATTAATCGGTTAATCGGATAAAAAATAAAATAAATTTTAAAAAAATGGCTCCAGGGATGGACTACTAGTTTGTATTGAGATTGCACTCCATCACAGGAGCAAGCTTGGAGCGGTAGAAGTAAAAAAGAAAAAAAAAAAAAGTGTGGTGTACAATATAGTGAACTGAAAAGTGTAAAGTTATACAGCAATGAATGCAGAATGGCACCGGCTTTAGAGGACTCCAAAACCCAGCAATAGTACATTATACAGCACAATGCAGAATACCACCAGCTATAGAGGAATACATCAAATCCCAGCAATAGTACATTATAGCTGGCGGTATTCTGCATTGTGCTGTATATTGTACTATTGCTGGGTGTTGTAGTCCTCTATAGCTATTGGTATTCGGCATTGCACCACTGTATAATGTATTATTGCTGGGATTTGTTGTACTCCTATAGCTGGTGGTATTCCTTGATTTGTAGTCCCCTATACAGCGCAATGCAGAATACCACCAGCTATATAGGAGTACAACAAATCTCAGCGAAGGGGGTTCTTCTCAGCAATACATTATAGAGCACCATGTGTGGGGAAGTGCAGGCTTACCTGAGCAGTCTTCCAGCAACTTGCTTCTGAGATCGGGCCTGTCTATAGGCGGCCGTCATCCCCCCACACCTGCTCCTCCTTACTTCTTTTCCCCGCGTCCCTGTGCCGATCGTGGATTTGGGCGGGCGGTGAGTGTGAGGCACGGAGGAGGTGCGGAGTGTGGATGCGGGCAGGTCTGGCAGCGGCGAGCGCGAGGTGGGGAGGAGGTGTGGCGCGCAGCGTGTGTGGAGCCGAACAGGGCCAACCAATCAGAAGCCGATTAATCGATTATTGAAAAAGTTGACAACTTTTTCAATAATCGATTATAATCGATTATGTCGATTAGTTGTTGCAGCCCTAAAACGTAGTCACATCCCCAGATCTGTGTACGACCCCCCCTCTCCCTTTTTCCCCTTTAGCAAAATCGCAGGCTGCTGTAAACTTTTGAATTTGGCGTGGTTGTGTGTTGCTTCAACCACAGGATCTGTGAATGGAGAGACAAGAAGTCTGTGGCAGAGGGACTTGTATTTATCAATGAAGTCGTCCATTATATACTTCCTCCCGTCCCTGTAACTCAGGGGTGGGCAAACACCAGCCCCTCCAGCTTGGGTGGAACTACAAACCCCACGATGCATCTGTCTCCGGTAGTCATGTGGCTGTGGGAATCCTGCAGTGCCTCATGGGACTTGTAGCTCCACAAGAGATGGAGGGCCGAAGTCTGCCCACCTAAGCTGTAACAAAGTACATACCTGGGTACAGCCAGGGGCCACAGCCTCGCACCCCCCATACACTGACCACAGCCACCATGCTGTCCAGGCTCCAACGCAAAATAATGCACATTTTTTCTTTGATGGAGTGTGCGGGTATTACTTTCTTGTAGAAGGTGGACTATGCCTTTAACAAGCCAAAACAAATTGGGGTTTCCCAACAGAATTCCAGTATGATTTCCCCTCCACTGTGCTTGGTCCCCTCAGGAGGATTCGGGTGGTTTCGGTGACTTAAGAAGGGAGTTTTCAGAAGTCAAATACTACAGAAAGATAAACAGCTTGTTACATAGAAAGGGAAACTGGTTCTACTTTTCTGGACTTACTGTAAATCATTTATGTGAAAGGTACAGATCAGGTATTTAGGCTTTGTAGTGTGTCTGTACATTAGAGCTGCAGCTAACGATTATTTTCAAAATCGATTAGTTAGCCGATTATTAAGTTCGATTAATCGGTTAATCGGATAAATAAAATACATTTTAAAAAATGGCTCCAGTGATGGACTACTAGTTTGTCTTGAGGTTGTAGTCCATCACAGGAGCAAGCTTGGAGCGGTGGAAGTAAAAAAAATGGTGTGGTGTGCAATATAGTGAAATGGAAAGTGTAAAATTATACAGCAATGAATGCAGAATGGCAGCGGCTATAGAGGACTACAAATCCCAGCAATAGTACATTATACAGCACAATGCAGAATATCACCAGCTATAGAGGATTACAACAAATCCCAGAAATAGTACATTATAGCTGGCGGTATTCTGCATTGCGCTGTATAATGTACTGTTGCTGGGTTTTGAAGTCCTCTATAGCTAGTGGTATTCGGCATTGCACCACTGTATAATGTATTATTGCTGGGATTTGTAGTCCTCTATACAGCGCAGTGCAGAATATCACCAACTATAGAGGAGTACAACAAATCCCAGCAATACATTATACATACAGTGTATAATGTATTGCTGGGATTTGTATTCCTATGTATAATATACAGCACAATGTACCATCAGCTATAGAGGAATACAAATCCCAGCAATACATTATAGAGCACCATGTGGGTGGGGGGGG